CCTCCTCTTTTTGCTGAGGAAGAGCAGCCCTCAGCTAACATCCGTGCCCATCTTCCTCCATTTTATGTGGGATGCCACCACAGCATGGCTGGAGAAGCGGTGGTCGGTGCGTGCCTGGAATCTGAACCTGGGCCGCCAGCAGCGGAGCGTGCACACTTAACCACTAAGGCACGGGGCTGGCCCTCACTCAGTTTAGCTCTGAGAAACATTCTCAGGGTGGAATTGTATATGGTAGGATTCAAAGCAAGCTAGAAAGAGAATTAAGTGGCTGTTAAGAGTTTCTGAGGAGATCTTTGGGGGTCTTCAAAGTGGATTACTTTTCTTGTCTGAGATAACATGTTTGCCTCCTAAAGTTGAAAGGTTCTCACCTTTAGACTTGTGATGGGTTCTAGTATATAAATTTTTTTTTTTTTTTGTGAGGAAGATCAGCCCTGAGCTAACATCGGAAGCCAATCCTCTTTTTTTTGCTGAGGAAGACTGGCCCTGGGCTAACATCCGTGCCCATCTCCCTCTACTTTATATGGGATACCGCCACAGCATGGCTTGACAAGCAGTGCATCCGTGTGTGCCTGGGATCCGAACCTGCAAACCCTGGGCTGCTGAACTGGAGAGTGCACACTTAACCGTATATACAGGAAGTATTGTGTAGTGGCTAAAAATATGGGTGCTGATGGGACTGTTCTGTATCCTGATGGTGGTCATTAAATGAACCTATACAAATATTAAAATCCGTAGAACTGTACATCAAAAGGAAAACAAATCAGTTTACTATATAATTTAAAAAAACCCACATGGGTGCTGGAGCTAGCTGCTTGGGTTTGTTTGAATCACAGCTCCATCACTTATTAGTTGTGTGACCCTGGGCAAGTTACTTGTGCCTCAGTTTGCTCATCTGTAAATGCAGGTAATAACAGTACTTCCTGCATGGGATTGTTGTAAGGATTCAGTTAATATATAAAGCACTTAAAACACTGCCTGGCTCACTGTATGTCTTATATAAGAACTAGCTACTATTATTATTGTAAGAATGTAAAGGAATAAGAAGAAGATATATGGGCTATCATATGGTTATAGCAACTGTAAGTAGTCTGAAATACAACTACAGTGAGGTACTGCCTTTGTGCAAAAAAGGAATAAACTCTAGAAAAGTGTAAACTAGGCAAATTTGTCTTTCTTGTTGCTATTTTCCAGGGAAGGCAAAAACCAACCAAACAAAAAATCCCCTTATTTTCTAATTTGCTCATTCATGCATTGAATGCCTACTGTTTTCCAGGGGCTTACTGAAAAGTAAGAAATGATCTTGGCAGTCTTTCACTTCACAATTCACCTGATGATGTGTTCTCTAGCACATGTATGCCTTTTTTTCGTGCTGCCATTCTCAGATTTACTGCAGCTACTGGCCAGAAGTACTGACAAAGTCTATGATTAAGCATCATATCTATTGCATCTACCAATGAGAATATTAAGACCAAATAATTCTCCCACTAGGTTGACTACCCAGAAGGTAAATTCTGAGAATTATTTGGGAAGTAAAAGGAAGCTTTTGAAAAACAGGAACGGGAGTGGGGTGGGGGGAGGGGGAGGCAGCATCCGAGCTGTGAGTGTTTTAAGGATGATTTAGACATACTCAGGAATATTCAGATCATGAACCTCCTGTACTAAATGAGAGAATAATAATGATCTTTGACGTGAAGGGGGAAAGAGGCATCATTCCTATTGATGTTAAAATATTAATCCTGAACCATTCCCCTCCCACTACAGGGCATTAAGGGGGGAGAGAACATGACAGAGAGACATGAGTAGGCAGAGGTGCTATCTATTCGATTCACATGAGTCTCAAGTCTTGTTTTTTATGTTTAAGCATTACTCTTTGACAGTTGAGAGAAAACAATCCCCCTGGGAGGAGGAAAGCAGCCAAGAGAAAATAGAACCGTCTGAGAAAGAATGGAAATTATTCTATTGCTCCGTTAGACAGAGCCAAGTGGGAGGGAAGCCAGGGTAAATGATCAAGGCTGTCTACGAAACAGCCCGCCTCAGCTGGAGGGCTGGGTGCCTACTCAGTGAAGCAGTAACTACTCTGCCATGGCTGGCACAGCTGGAGCTCCAAGTCAGTCATCTGCAGGAAAGGGGCCTTGATCTCCATTTTGTAAGAAGTGTCTGAGGGATCAAGAGACACAAGCACACAAGATTGTATCTGTACTCCACTTCTCCTTGGTTGTCATGGGAAGTGAGTGTTGCAAGTAACATAAACAAACGTAGACTCTGGGGAACTATACAGTAAAGCCCTGCTGATTGGTAGGGCTTGCCGTTTATGGTGATTAAAAATACAAATGTGTTCAACTTCCCTTTGTCTCAGTAACTTTTAAGAAAATGCTGGGTTTTTTTAAAAATTTTTATTTATTTATTTTTCCACCAAAGCCCCCGTGTATAGTTGTATGTCACAGCTGCACATCCTTCTAGTTGCTGTATGTGGGACGCGGCCTCAGCATGGCCGGAGAAGCAGTGCGTCAGTGCGCGCCCGGGATCCGAACCCGGGCCGCCAGCAGCAGAGTGCGCGCACTTAACTGCTAAGCCACGGGGCCGGCCCACTGCTGCTGTTTTAAAGAGGGGAAAAAGATAGGGTATTACTTTTTAAAATAAAACTTTGAGTTTAATGTCACATAGAAGTCAAAAAGCCCTTTGATGACACATATTTTACTTCTTTTAGGTGTCATGAATACAAAAGAGGTGACATGCTGAACACCACAAGGCTGCAGAGCCAAGTAAACAATCTAGTATAAACTCGCTTCATTGTTTTCTAGCCACTCAAAACAATCTCTGTTCGGTGGAAGTGACACTTTGCCATTAATTTCTCCTCTTTACTAATTTCTGCATACTGCCATAGTGTAAATGATTACTGATTCAAGGGAAGTCTTCATATTTAGATTAATGGATTAAGAAGTGTCAGTAAACTGACTAAAGCTCAGAAACCAACACAGTATCAGAATTTTTTTAAAGCAAAATCCACTGTGGGGCAGTTGAATAGGCCAGCAGTGATCCTGGGCTGCATTAGGTTGGCAGAATATGGAATAAATTAATACCAGATCCTAGCAGATGTCCTCGACTGTCTAGGCATGGAGTGTCTTTTTTATGAGGTATTGTAAGCCCCTTTTCCTGGCTTTCCCCCGTTTTTGAAGAAATTCATAAAAGGTTAGGACTGAGAAAAATCCAGTGTCATTCCCTCATTTTAGAGGTGAGAAAATGAAGATCCCAAGAGATTAACTAATATAACAGGGAAATTGACTGGCTTAGTAAATTGCACTGTTTGAAACTCCTAGCAAGGTACCTTGGAACATTTTTAGATATGCCACAGTCAAACTTTATGAAATAAAACCATTGAATTTTAGAGGTAAAAGGGACTTGAGAATATAAATCATAAACGTTTAAAAACGGAATTTTTGTTAGTTGAGAGGCCTAAAAGCCTAGAAAAAAGATAAGGAGGCAGAAATGTTCTGCTTCTAAGATACATATTCATGTTATCAGGGTAACGACAGCATCAGTTTTTAGATTCTGTTTTTCTCCACAAATGCCAAGTTTACTATATTTTCTTCATTCTATCTATCTAAAGATTCAGGTCTAAGCTCCAAAACCGTGAACAGTAGATAGATATGTAATGGCCACAATTTTAACTTGTAAAATTAATGGTATTTCATTTTCTCCAAAATAAAAAACAACTAGAAATCAACCACCCATCAATTTTCTCAACTTGGGAAGCTACCGCCCTCTAGAGGGTGGGTTTGGAAACGTCAGGGGTACTTTTTGGTTGTCACAAGGACTGACGGGGCAGACGGAGTTGCTACTGGCGTTTTAGTATCTGGGGATGAGGGATGCCGGACATACTGAAATGTGGCTTTACACATAAAGAACTACCTTCCCCAAGATGCCAATAGTACTCACTTTGAAACATGATGAGAGTGACATCTACAAAGTTTTTACGATTTGCCTCTTAAAATATTAACCATTTATTCTAAGATGACTTAGTAAGAAGGGGGCTAGGGGGCACATGTTGACAGACAGCATGGGTCTGTGTATTAGGAAGTTCATGGATCTGACTGCATTTCAGGCCTGCTTATCCCACTAGCATTTATCTCAACACCGGGATCTGGGACTTGACTTGCCAATTGTTCATTGTACACAGCTATAATAGGGCTACGTACTTAACTAGGAATAACAAAAGGTAAAGACGTTTTCTGATTGACATAATGTTATACAGTGTATACAGGCAAAAGTTGATAAAATGGTTCAAGTACTCTGATAGTTGCGGAATAGACTTTGGATGCCAGAAAGATATAAATTGAATCCTTTTTTTATCTAAGATTTTCAGGTACTTTTAGATCACAAAATGTAAACTTCTTCTCCAGTGTCCATTCTCTCCTTCCCTTAAGTAATAAAAATCTGAAATGGTCCCCTTTTCCCCCTACATCTCCCAGCTTCCCTGTGGGTGGGTGTGGCCATGTAATTGTTGACCAATGGACAATGTGAAATGATGTGTGGAACTTCCAGCTTTTTCCCCCTTCTTTTAAATAGGGAAGCTTCGTGCTCTTCACTCTTTTCTCCTCTTCCCACTTGCTGGGAAAGGATGACAACTTGAGCAACCACCTTAGACCTCGAGATGGAAGCCATGGAGTGTTCCACCAGTTGGATCCTTGGATGACTATGTGGAGCAGAGCCACCTACTCACTTCTACCTTATTTAAGCCAATGTATTTTGGAGAAATTGATTTTCTGTCATTTTTTCATATGCCAACTGCTAAGTTGCTCTCTCAACTAGACTCCAAATAAGAAATGACATTGGGTCTCAATAAAAATAGTAGTGGGAGAAAGTTGAATGTAGCAGAACTCCTTTTTAGGTATATTTGGGTCACATATACATACATATATACATCCTATAAAAAATAACTTGTATTTACAAACTCAATACATTACAAATTGGCACAGTCTTGAGTAGTTAAAAAAGGGTGGAAGCAAGGGGGCTTTATTATAGCTCTATTTAATACAATTCAATGTATGCAGTTATGTTTAATATAGTTAGCATTTGACCTGAACAAGGTCAGTTTCATATATTTATCTGTTGTTTCTTCTTCTGCAGATTGTACACAAGGGAAGGCGGCTTCTTGATTTTATAGGCCACACTTCTCTTGAGACGCTCTCCTTTGATGTTAACGATATGTGGCAAGAGAGGAGGCCGGACCGTCAGAACTGTTCCTTGAGGTGTATAGCCTCGGAGACGCAGTCTGTCCTTAAAATGAGGCGTTACCGCAACCCAACCTATGCAGGCATGCGACAGAACATAAAATGGCGTTAGCAATCCTCTTATTAAAAATACCAAACCAAAGTTCAAAATGGAGCACGAAAGGAGGCTATACTCTCTTTCACTTAATTTTTTAAAAAAGCATTTGTGAAAAGGTACAAACTTATTTACAGAGTAGCTTGCATTTATGAATAAACTAGTATGTATTTCTTAAAATACTCAGCTTATGTCAGGTAAGGCACATTTCTATAAAAATGTACTGTAAGGCTACTTTATTCACCTTTTAAAAGTGCTTGGTGTAAAATTACCTGCAGAGGAAAACTTGATGTCAGCCACTGCCTCAGTTTCCCCAAGTCCTTCTTCTAACGTAATGTCTTCAGCAACAAGAGGAGGAAATCCTGCCATTCGTTCTTCTCCACCCATTGGAACCTTCCATTGAGATAAAATGAAGATGTTTGGAAGTTCAAATTAAATTCCCCATAACTCTAATATTAAGTAAAGCACTGAGCAGATAATCCTGTACAGGGATAAAGAATAAAATCCTTTAAACATTCAACTGTTGGAAAAACTCTGAATCACTTCCAGGTCAAATGAAAAGCATGGGTGCTCTGTGATGAGATGAAGCCTACAGATCTCAGCGCCAAGAGCCCCATGTGGGCATGCACCTGGCAGTAACCCCCTGATAGCAGAATCTTGCTTAATTGTTTACACTGTTTTTACAGCCCTCCATAAAGCTTTCCAGAGTAATGTGGGACAATTAAGACAACATCCTTCCAAATACTTTAGTTCTTATAGGCCTGGCTGGCCATAAAGATTAATCCCCTCCTCATGACAAGTCAAGGGTACATGTATTATAGGTAAGATTCAGCTTCTGTGTTTACAGATGTTTCGATGAATTGGAAGTAACTGGAAAATAACTTATCCATTTATTAATCTCTCTGTGTTTAGCACTAAGGATACAAAGATGGATGTTACAATAATGGTCTCTGCCTCCAATGACATCAGAAGGTGGAAATAACATGTCAACAAATTACAAAGTAAGAAATGTGACAAGAGGCATATTCTTTTTTTTTTTATACAGAAGTTTTTTGTTTTTTTTAAATAATTTTATTTATTTATTTTTTCCCCCAAAGCCCCAGTAGATAGTTGTATGTCATAGCTGCACATCCTTCTAGTTGCTGTATGTGGGACGCGGCCTCAGCATGGCGGGAGAAGCGGTGCGTCGGTGCGCGCCTGGGATCCGACCCTGGGCCGCCAGCAGCGTGCACTTAACCGCTAAGCCACGGGCCGGCCCAAGAGGCATATTCTTTTTTTATTTTTTTAGTGAGGAAGACTAGCCCTAAGCTAACATCTGTTGCCAATCTTCCTCTTTTTGCTGAGGAAGATTTGGCTCTGAGTTAACATCTGTGCCCATCTTCCTCTATTTTATATGGGACGCCGCCAAAGCATGGCTTGATGGGCAGTGCATAGGTCCGTGCCCAGGATCCGAACTTGTGAACCCCAGGCTGCTGAAGCAGAGCGTGCAAACTTAACCACTATGGCACTGGGCTGGCCCCGAGAGGCATCTATTAAGTACTATGGTTGTGGAGGAAGAAGTAATGAATGTGTTTTGGTCAAGGAAAACATTAATGAAGAAGCAATATCTGAGCAGTATTTTGAGAAACAGGTCAAAGTTACTCAGTGGAAAGGTATTCTGGGTTAGCGTCATGTACAGACACAGAAACTGGAAAAAGGAGCCAGCCCTGACGGCCTAGTGGTTAAAGTTTGGTGTTCACTGCTTTGGTGGCCCGGGGTTCACTTCCTGGTAGTGGAACCACACCACTCATCTGTCAGTAGCCATGCTGTGGTGGCAGCTCACACAGAAGAACTAAAACGACTTACAACTAGGATATAGAACCATGTACTGGGGCTTTTGGGAGGAAAACAAAACAAAACAAAACTGGAAAAAGGATGATGAGTTCAGGGAACTATAGTTTAACTGTCCAGAGTATGTTATGTGTGTATTAGTAAAGAGGCTATCAGTTTAGACTTCTCTCAGTAATGTGGAACAACCAAGGAATTATAAGCAGGAAACAGAACAGAGATGAGAATAAAAAAAGAATACTGTGACCTGCTTGGTATTTTGGAAAGATCTCGCTAGTGCAGAGGTTCTCAACCTCAGCACTATTGACATTTTGGGCTGAATAATAAGTCTTTGTCACGGGTAGGCTGTCCTGTGCATTATAGTATTTTTAGCAGCACCCCTGGCCTCTACTTTGGCATCCATCAAGTTGTGAAAACCAAAAACATCTCCAGGCATTGCCAAATGTCCTCTGGGGGCAGAAGTCAACCCTGAGTGAGAACCACTGCTCTAGTGGCTGTGGAGGTATATTTGGGGTAGGGGTGGCAGGAGGGCAGTCAAAACTGGAAGCTGGGAGAATACTTAAGGATCTCAGAAACGGCCTAATGAAAGCAGATTACACCTTGAACTACAGGGCTGGATTCAGAGATAATTAGGAGGCAGGACTGACTCTAACTTGGAAAGTGAGTAAGAAAACCAAGAGGCAAGAATGAATCCCAGAGCAGCCCAAGAAACCATTCAGTGTCACACTGGGAGAGAAGACTGGGATCGCTGCTTTAGAAAGTATAAGTGAAGTCCATTCTGAAAACGACACAGATACGTGGCGGTGGAGTGACACAGAGATCATTTTTCTGAGAGCCATGTTATACAAACTAAGGAAGTTTTCTTTCCTGCAGGTCTCAAGCCGTATTTCAACTTGGTATTATTATTTTACCTAAAGAGTGAACAAATGTAATAGAAGAACTAAAGTCTTTTAGTGAGAAAAAATCAACAGATCGTACATTGCTGATTGCCTTTATGTGCTCACCCACCCTACAAATCCTACAGGTCTTTCGAATATTAACTTTAGGGCAGTTATTTCAATGGAGTTTTAATTTCAGCCTGGCTTTCTTAAGAAACCCACAGAGGGGACGTATTTAGTTCTCAAGTCAGGTTTGTTTTTATCCTTTTTGAAGGGAGGGTGTATATTTTGCATTTTGACTTATTTTCATTTGCATGAGCATTAGTGCTAAATCACCTCTGCATTGGATGCACCTGGTATTTTTGCAACAGCTGTGTTGCATTATCATCATCATCATCACAAATAATTACATAGCACTTAGAACAGAGCCCTGAAACTATATCCTCTTTGAAACCTGGTGAGGTAGGTACAACACACAGCGGTAAAGGAAACTTGCCTAAAGTCACACGGCTTTGTTAAGTGGTGGAGTGGAGCAGGCATCTGAACCCAGGCAATCTGGCTCCAATGGTCTTAGCCATTATACAATACACACTAGCCAACAGTGTGTATGGCATGTCTTGCTAGAGGGCTGAAAACAATCCCCACTCAGTCTTTGGTGAACTTGGTAAGAACAATTTCAGTGGCATAGTAAGGGCCAAACAAGGACTGCAGAGGATGGGACATGAGAAGCAGGAACAGGCTTGATTGGAAAGAGAAGGAATGAGCAGGACACTGAGTTTTGTTTTGTTTTTTAAAGATGAGAGAAATTTTAACATATTTACAGGAGCTGGTAGAGCAGGAGAGAAGAGGTGGGATAATCAGTAAGTCTGGGATTAAAAACATAAGAGGACAGCTTTTCCACCCAGACCAGGGCTTCTCAACCTTGGCACTAGTGACATTTTAGACCAGATAATTCTCTGTTGTGAGGGGCTGTCTGGGCATTGCAGGATGTTTAGCATCATCCCTGGCCTCCACCCACTAGATGCTAGCACCATGCCCCAGTTGTCAGAAAATCTGGAACTTTTCTTCACTCAGCATTATCCAAGACAACTTTTCTGCAATGATGTGTCTGCTGTTGCTAGTGCAACTGAAGAACTAAATTTTAAATTTTATTTAATTTTAACTAATATATTTAAATTTAAATAGCCATGTGTAGCTACCGAATTAGACAGTGTACCCTAGAGAAAACAGCTCTGTAGCTATTCTAGCATCAGTCCAAACCAACATCCCTTTTCTTATAGAACCCACTTCACGTTATAGCCAAAATCTTCAAGGAGAACAAAGTGAGGGGAAAGCTAGCTGATAGCATTAGATGGTTCTGTCTAACAAAGGCAGGGCTGTGAGACTAGCATAGCGTGTGTTAACCTAATTATGCAGTCATGAAAGTGTGTCGCCTTACCTTGAGTAACGTATGACCCGCGTGCTTCTGATACACAGCATCTGCCTTGTCTAAGGAAGTAATGTGCACAGGAAGGAAGTTGGAAGCCACAACTGTAAACCAAGCTGACTGATATCCCTCAAGAAAGGAAGACAGAAGTTGTTATTATACAATGAAAAACTTGCATAATCAGCACATAACAAGGTACAATCGATTATGAAAATAAAAAATCAGGCTCGCTTTATAAGTTACTGGTATGGCAGCTGTAAGCAAACATATTAATGTCAAAAAAAAAAAAAAAGGATACAATATGGGAGAAGCAGACTCTTTCAACAATTTGTGTAAAACTCCTTCTATAGGCTTCCTGATACTATTAAAAAAAGGAATAAGGGCCGGCCCAGTGCCATAGTGGTTAAGTTAGCGCGCTCTGCTTTGGCAGAGTGGAGTTTGCGGGTTTGGATCCTGGGTGTGGACCTACATGCCACTCAAGCCGTGCTGTGGCGGCATCCCACATACAAAAAAAATATTGGAAGACGGGCATAGATGCTAGCTCAGGGACAATCTTCCTTAGGCAAAAGGAGGAAGACTGGCGACAGATGTTAGATCAGAGCCAATCTTCCTCACTTAAAATAAAAAGTAACGATATTTCTATTATTAAAAATAAAAGGAAATACTATCTCCTTTAACTATCCCTGGGTAAAGTCAGGTTTAAATATTAACATTCTGTGGGCTTTAATGAAATATATATGGGCTTTAAGAGTGTAAAGCTAAACTCCTAACAAATTATGAATACAAAACCCAGGAAATGTGCTATAGCAATGGCCTGTAGGTTGCATTCAGTGTTGTTGAACACATCCGTGCTTCATTTTCCTTTTTTCTCCTCACTTTGGCAAAATGGGAAGCAATTCTATAGATACTCTAAAATCCCTAGAATGATGCTAAGTAAATTAAAGGCAAACAAAGAAGTACATATATATTGGGGCTGGCCCTGTGGCGTAGCGGTTAAGTGCACATGCTCTGCTCTGGCAGCCTGGGTTTGGATCCCAGGCGCACACCGATGCACTGCTTGTCAGGCCATGCTGTGGCTGCATCCCATATAAAGTGGAGGAAGATGGGCACAGATGTTAGCCCAGGGCCAGTGTCCCTCAGCAAAAAGAGGAGGATTGGCATGGATGTTAGCTCAGGGCTGATCTTCCTCAAAAAAAAAAAAAAAAAAGTACATATATAAAAGTATACATATCATGGGATATAAAGAAATGTGGAATTTATTTAATGCATATTAACCCAGTAACTAAAGGTCTGACCTATGATTTCCATGTGAAACTGTCCCTATCCTGTGGTATTGTATCTTTTCTTAAATGCCAGCCTGTCTGGGGCACTCAATATCCAATTGAAGATATAGTTTTTAAGACCTACTACTTTTTTTTTTTTTGCCTGTTTCTTTTTCCCAAGTTTTTATTATGGACATTTTCAAACATAAAAACACCCAGTATATCAAGCCTTCACACAGTCATGACCTAGTTATCAATATTTGGCCAGTCTTGTTCATGTATCTGCATTCTTAAAGTATCCCAACACTATGTCATTTTTTAATGGTACAGACTTTTCTTACCTGCAGAAAATCTATGCGGCCTAAAGCACCCAAAAATAGAACCATTCCTGGTTTAAGCACAAAAGTTCTTGGAACAATGGAATGTGTTGGCAAAACAATATTTACTTCTTTTTCCGTTAGAAGATTTAAAATCTGTGAAGCAAAGGGCAGATTTTTTAGAGAATTACTTTTATTGAAGATATATTGTGATTTACCTGTAAGATAAAAAGAGATGAAAAAATATTCTAGACTTCACAATAAACCAAAGTATGTCAGAATTTGCTGCACATAAAATTTATACATTCTTTCTTTCTAAGTGAATCAGTTTAGGGATGGCTCTACTCTTGTTTCACAACTTAATCTTGAGTAACGGCAAAATAACTTTATAGGAGTATGAGACTTACACCAGCAGCAGCCCCAGAATATCAAAATTGGTGTGAACTGAAAACACTGATGATTCAATCCCAAGACAGAAAATATGTTCCCTCCATCAAGGCTTCTAGGGAGGAATAGTTTTCAGCTAAAGGTAAGGCAATATGCTACCTTATGGCCTAGTGGCAAGTATGCATGCATTAAACGCAAAATGGTCACCCCATTCTACGAGCAGGTAGAGAGCTGGAAGAACCCCTTTCTAAATTCTGGTCTTCAGTTTCCTTATTTCCCCCAAATACTCAGCAAAAAATGAGAAAAAGTTATGAATCTTCTGGCTTCTAAGGATAAAGAGTTCCTAAATAGACTAGAGAAGATAGAAAAGGAAGCCAAGAAGTACAAAATTCTAGTAAGATTTAAGGATTTGAAATCAGATTAAAAAAGATAAAGACTAGAGAAGGTAAAAAAATGGATAAAAAACATTTGTGAACTTGCTTAAGAAAAATGAAAAGGAAATGATAAATATGTGATACTTAGAGAGGCTCACAAGAAAATACAAAAGAAGGGGGCTGCAAGCAGTTTTCCTCAGCATTTGTGTTTTTTTTTTTTTGTGAGGAAGATCAGCCCTGAGCTAACATCCATGCTAATCCTCTTCTTTTTGCTGAGGAAGACCCGCTCTGAGCTAACATCTATTGCCAATCCTCCTCCTTTTTCTTCCCCCCAAAGCCCCAGTAGATAGTTGTATGTCATAGCTGCACATCCTTCTAGTTGCTGTATGTGGGACGCAGCCTCAGCATGGCCGGAGAAGCAGTGCATCGGCGTGCGCCTGGGATCCGAACCCCGGCTGCCAGTAGCGGAGCGCGCGCACTTAACCACTAAGCCACAGGGCCGGCCCTGAAAAGGCACATTAAAAGCCACCTGCATTAAAGAAACCTTTTAACCCTTTTTAGCAGAGACCCTAATACTTCCATTTCACAACAGAGTTCCTTGGTTCAGTCTCGGAAACACCAGTTTAAGGCATCAAATATATCAGTAAACTGACACAGAAGCAAACTACCTGGGAGACCTATTATATGTAAAAACTTGAGGGTCTCATTCTGTTGGCTAGGATATTTAGCAAATTCTTGCCTATTTGACAAGAGGGTATATATGAGTAAAGTAGCTGCTACCCCTGACCTGACTGAGTCTAAAAGGGAAGAAGGAGTTGAAGTTAAAGTGACAGAACATTATTAGGAAGCAGTCCAGTTACTCTGAAGTTATGGATTGCTAAAGGAGACTGGACACAAGCAATTATTCTAGGAGGGCAACAGAAGTTAAATGATCTATATGATTCTATGACATGGGATACCAAAGAGAATACAATTCTTTTTTATTTTTATTTTTTTATTTTTTTTAATTTAATTTTTTTTACCCCAAAGCCCCAGTAGATAGTTGTATGTCATAGTTGCACAGCCTTCTAGTTGCTGTATGTGGGGCACGGCCGGAGAAGCGGTGCGTCGGTGCCTGCCCAGGTTCCGAACCTGCGCCGCCAGCAGCGGAGCGTGCGCACTTAACCGCTAAGGCACGGGCTGGCCCGAGAATACAATTCTGAGAATGAAACTGTAAATGATCCTGATGAGGCAAAGGATGGAAAAGTATCTAAGAAACCAGTGTTATTTCAAAGGGAGATACAAAGACAATTTAGCAAATTAGAAACTGGTCAGAAACCAGATTCAAAGGAAACTGATTGATGGATCTGTTGTAAGGCTGTATCCTGGAGGCTCACTTGAGTTAATCAATGACTTTGAGGGTAATCAATGACTCTGAGGGTGATCAAAACTGCAAATGAATAAAAAGTTGTGAGATTTAATGAGTATGTAGGATATAGGCTAAATTTAACAAGATAAAATCAAAGTTGCCCAGGAGATCCTGCAATTGGATTAAAAAGATGTATAAGGGCAAGACGGGTAGAGTTAACCCTATTCTAAATTATGCTCATCTTAGGGCACTGACACAAGAAATTTTGTTCTTAGTGTCACATTTTAAAAACAAAAACAAATTAGAAAACATTCTGAAAAGGGGCCTGGGTTGATGAATAGCCTCTCAGAGAGAACAGCTGTGGGCAATGAAGACAAATAATTTGGATTACGTCAGCCCAGTAATGCTCAATGTTTGTTGGATGACCTAATGAAAGAGAAGGAAAGGGCAGAGTGAGGAAGAGATAGAACATTGCACTTTAAAATGTTTCAAAGTCTGGCAAGGGATGTAGGCATTACATTTGTTCCATACAGCTCTGAGAAACAATGGGTACAAGTTACAGGGAGACTGCTCAACACAAAGAGCAGGTCAAAGACCAAATGGGTTACCTTAGGAGGTAAGGTGACTCTGCTCAGCTGATGGTGAGTCACTCCTTACTCAGTTCAAGCTGGATGCCTTCTTGATGGATACGTTATAGAGGGAATTCAAGCATGGAATAGGTGGCTGGACTACAGTGATATTTATGATTTCTTCCAACCTCAAAATCTAGGATTCTGTAAATGTCTCCCTAAGATAACAACCACAATGATATAAATGGGTTGTTAGCAGTGAAGCCTACCAAATTGAACGTAGAACTTGATGCCATATAGATTCATCCCTGAACTGCTTCTATGAATGAATGAGAACTGAGTCTAAAATGAAAGGATACCTCCTTTCCTGTGTTCTGCCAATTAAGACAGTACTTGTGCAGTTGAAAGTAAGTGTTTCTTAAGATATCAAATACATACACAATTTTCTTTTGTAATTCCAGGGGTGTCATGAAACCAGTGGGCATCTTTCACATCTTCTGGGGTCAACTGTACTCGTTTGGTGGATTTATCTGCCACAACAGGTTCATTTCCCATGTCAAAGGCAAGTGAATCAGCATCAAACTCAAAGGGAGCTTCATCCTTCCGTTCTTCTGAATACAAGAATGTTCTTCCAACTCTTCCTAGAACAAGTTAGATTGAAGTTATTAGTCATTCTTTTAAAGCTTTTGATTCCAGACAGGTAATTCTTATGTTTGCCTCAAACAAATTACTAAGACTAACTGTAGTGTATGGAAGTGAGACTACAATGATACCTTTGCTTTTTTCCCCAAAGGCGGGGGGCCAGACTCTTGCAATGATCAAGTGAGTGGCTGGTTGTGTACACTGGGTGGGGGGAGAGGGTGTTGGAAATCAAACTGTTTTCAGTAAAGGAAGGTTGAAAAGAGATACCAAGGAATGGGTGACAATCTACAGTCATGCGCTGCATAATGTCATCTTGCTCAACGATGCCCCCTTTTTTTGTATTTTCTTGTGAGCCTAAGTATCACATATTTATCATTTCCTTTTCATTTTTCTTAAGCAAGTTCACAAACGTTTTTTATCCATTTTTTTAACTTCTCTAGTCTTTATCTTTTTTAATCAGATTTCAAATCCTTAAATCTTACTAGAATTTTGTACTTCTTGGCTTCCTTTTCTATCTTCTCTAGTCTATTTAGGAACTCTTCATCTTTAAAAGCCAGAGGATTCATAACTTCTTCTCATTTTTTGCTGAGTATTTGGGGGAAATAATGAAACTGAAGACCAGAATTTAGAAAGGGGTTCTTCCAGCTCTTTACCCGCTCCTGGAATGGGTGACAATCTACAGTCATGTGCTGCATAATGTCGGCATAATGTCTTCTTGCTCAACGATGCACCACATACATGACGGTGGTCTCACAAGATTAGCACTATATAGTGTAGGTGTGTAGTAGACTATATCATCTAGGTTTGTGTAAGTACACTCTGTGATGTTCGGACAATGACAAAATGGCCTGATGACACATTTCTCAGAACATCTCTCTGTGGTTAAGTGACGCATGATTGTAATTTAAAGCTGCTGCACGGAGTCAACAACCTGCACTGGTCTGCAGGGCGGGGGGCTGTATCTTTTTTCTTCTACTGCTGACAATGGCTGGGTAGGTGGTTATTGCATGTTTCCTTTCCTGGATTTCTTCAAGATCTACTGTCTCAATTTTCTCAGCACAATGAACTCTGGATTCCCAAACAGTAGTCTTGCCTCTAAAGGGCCTCTATGTTCCAGAATGAGGAAAGGAGTCACTCCCCACAAAAACTGGCTAGCCCCAGACAGCTATATTTCAGGTTGCTCAACAAAGAATTTTAGCAACAACTCAACAAGAGTTTTCCTATAGAACATGCTTACCTACTACATAGCCATGCTTTTTCAAGAGATTAAGTTGATTTTGTTCTTGCTGACTAAGATCTTCTTCAGCTTCAGCTGCATCTTTTTTAAGCCTTTTTTGCCTTTTAAACATTCTGTAAGGAGTTGGATTGCAAATAGGAAACTTCAGAAGGTTTAACGTAGTACCTGAAATACCAAAGAATAAATATGTGTTCTAAACACTGTGCAAGAAAAGGGAATAAGAGGAGGAAAACTAACATCTTTGAGGAGCTACAATGTCTTGGGGACTGTGATTTATTTCACTTAACCTTCATAACACTCTACAAAATTATTCTTATTTACAGATGAGAAAATTGGCTCAGAGATTGGCTCAAAGTCTCAACCAGGATTTGAATCCTTAGATTAAATCCCAGGATTTAAATCTGCAGGCCTGATTTCTTTCCATTTTCACATCCTACCATCCAGTATAAAAGCACTTCTGTGGATAATTCAACCAAAGTCCAGGACAGAGAAGAACAGCTTATCAAAGTTAAACCCTGGTTTCAAAAGAACTAATGAGGCAATTTTGCCAACTGTTAAAAACACAAAGAGGGTCACAGAAGAACCCATTTTGCAATCACAGAAGTTTCATAAAGCCACAAAGTTGACATTTCTTTCCAACAAAGCTACACATCACATTGCATTAGTGAATTATTCAAATGTTAAACGTGCATAGTATACTGATCTCATGAATCAACTCAAGACATGAAAAGTAAGATTGAGGGGTGAGGGAGGTTTAGAAAGTAAAAGAAGGACTTTCCAGAGAAACATACAAAGAAGTAAAGCTACAAGAGAAACCTCCAAGAGAGCAGGAACTTTGTTCCTCTGTTCATCTACAGTGCCTAGAACAGTGACTGGAACATACAAGTGCTCCATAAATACTTCTTTTCGAAAATTACTACAACACATACTGAATTTCCAAGCACTAAACTGACACAGAAGAGAGGTGTGACCAAAGTAGGAAGACAGTTTTTAAAGGGAAGGCTCCAGACAGCCTCTGGTGGACAATAAGGAAGGATATACTAGGTGCCTGGGCCACGACCAGACTTCTAGCTTCTCAGACAACGAAGGGGGTGGGTCTCCTAAGGCTCACCAGGCCAAGGGGAGATGGTGGCTCTGTCGATAGCCTCAGCGCCCTTGGCGATGCAGTAATCGGACTCCAGGAGCGTGTTGAAGAGAGTGGACTTGCCAGCGTTGGTGGCGCCAACCAGGTAGACGTCACCACGGTAGCGCCAGGAGCGCTGAAGCGCGGAGATCAACTCTTCAACTCCATAGCCAGTCTTGGCGCTGATGAGCCGCACATCCCTGAGCACCGTGCGGCACCTGGCCGAAGGGTTCGAATTCTCCTCGTCTTGTGGCCCTCGGTGGCCAGGGAGCGGCAGGAGCCCTGCGCGGGCACAGTCGTCCCACAGCCGCTGCCGGAGCCGCTGCCGGTAGCCGGGAGCGTCCTGGGGCAGCAGGTCTACCTTGTTCCCCAGAACGATCAGCTGCTTGGGGCCCACCAGCGCAGGCAGGTCGGGCAGCAGGGCGTCGGGCAGATCGAGCAGGTCCACCATGTAGAGCACCAGGGCGGGCCCGGGCCGCCGCAGCGCGGCGCTCACCAGCGCCAGGTACTGCTCGCGGCTCACCTGCAGGCGCAGGGCGCGCCGGTGGTGCACCAGCAGCCAGCAGCGCTGGCACACGGTCCGCGCCAGCCCGCCGTCGGCCTGCGCCGCCGCGCTGAGGAACTTCTCGCTGGGCAGGTAGCCGGGCACGCCGGGGTCCTGGCAGTGCAGCTCCGCCCCGCAGCCCGAGCAGTTCAGGCCGCTGGGCGGCACCGTCGGGTCCGGGTGCCCCACGACCGGGTGCCCCCGGCGGCTGGCCCGTAGTTTCTGCTGCCACCGCTCCTCCCGCCGCTGCTGCTTCTGTCGCTCTTCCTCCTCCTGCCGCTGCTGCAGCTCTTGCAGCTGCTTTTCGGGGGTCGGTGCGGGCTCCGGCTCCGGGACGTACTCGGGGAACAGAAAATGCTCCTCCATGTCAGCCCTTCCTTCGTAACCCCCAGTCCCTGTCGGGTCACGAGGAAGCCCACGTCCCAGGCCCGATGAGTGCCGGCAAGAGAAGGGAGCCGCGCATGTCCTCTCGAGGAGCGGCTCCCGGAGGCCATGGCGCGCTACCTTCGGTGCGGATCCCCGCAGGAAGCCGCACAGAAGCCTACCAGTTAGGCGTGCGGGCAGCATGGGGAACACGGTCCCGAGCAAAGGGGCGGAGCCACGTGCGCGCACGCGCACTGGGGCCAGAGGCGCGCGTTAAGACCTACAGGCAAGGCCGCGGCTACCTGAGAGCTGTCATTTGTCAGCCGCCGCACTTCGTCTCCTCCTCCAGCGCCTAATCCCGTGAGTTATCGCGATGAAGGCTCTGAGGCTTCAGAACCCACTTAAAGCTGCGGCAAAGGTACCGACGGCCTAGACTTAGCTGAGGGGGCAAAAAAGGCTAGTGAGTGAGGGTTTGTTCCCTTTTAGGCTTCTTCAACGCGCCGCCGCTGGCGCAACCTGCCCTTAATAAATCGCATTTTTAAAGGCTTCGTGGTTTTTGAAGCCTTTAGAAATGCAAAAAATAGAGCATCGAATGCCGCAGACTCAAGGCTACAATTAAAATTAATAAATCTTCTTGGCCTTTTTTTTAGGTGTCATTTGTGCAACAACCTTAAAAAAAACTTTCACTGGCTGGATCGCACCCTCACACTGTAGGAGTCATCGTCGCAATCAGCCGCAAGAGGCGCCGCCCACAATTTGCGCGTGCGCAATTGTAACCCTTAGCGGCCCTTAGCCTACCATTTGCGCAGGCGCAGATGTTACCTGGCTTCTCTGTGGGCGGTCTTTGGCCTCGGACGCGGAGTATTCTGGGAACGCCGGAGACGGAAGTCACTTCGTTTAGGGCTCCGAGACGGAGTGGTAGCTGCGTGCTTTTCTCTCTGTGATTTTTAAGAGTTAGCAGCTCGGGAACCGTTTGCCAACATGTATGACGCGGACGAGGGTAGGTGACCACTCAGAACGCTCCGCGGCGACCCTTCTGTGGAGGGAAATGTGGGGAGCTGGACGAATTGAGGATTTGCGGCCTCCCCCCCCAGCCCGCCGCACGAGTGACCCCAGTCGTGTACCCCACATCCCCCAGGCCGGGAGTGAAGCCGCGATGGGGAGAGGTGGAGGGTGCAGGGAATGTAGCATTACTGTTCCCGGTCAGGGTGACGCTTGCTCTCTGCAGTGTCAGCTGGATAGATCTGATACCGCCTTCACGTATTGAGATAACGTGCAGAACCATAAAACAGTACCATTGTTTTGGCTTTGTCTGAAGCAAAGGGCTCCCTTCTTGATTTCTTTTGAGGCTAGGGTTAGTGGATTTATTGAATATTTGAATTTTTGAGCGTCAGTTTGTGCCAGGCATTGTGCTGGGCTCTGGAAATATACCGGGGACAAAGAATATCGTGTGTGTCGAGGGAGTGTTGGTCTAGTTTGGCATTCCTTCATGCCGTCGTATGTCTAAGTGAATTGTCTTAAAAGATGACATTTAGATTTTCTCAGATGGTATGTATTCAACTGAAGAGGACCAATATATCTGTTTTTCCTTTCAGGTATAGAATTCTTAGTCATGTCTAGTGTATTTTCGTTAGGTATTTTTAAACCTCCCTCTTCCATTCTCTACAGCTACTGTATCAAACCTCATTTTCTTCTAGTTCCCAATCCTGTGGCCACCCCTCACATTGCTGCTTATTCCCTTAGCTTCTTCATGGAGAATACAGAAGCAAAAGCTTCAGATCTACAGTTTAAACTTCTCTGTCTCATTTATATCTTGAGTCTAGAAATTTATTAGCATCATTACATTCACTTTTCTTAACTTCTATCTCAGAAAAAAATTCAAAATTTTTTTAGCAGAGTTTTTTGTGTAGATAATATATATTCTCATGGCTCACAAGCTGGAAAGTATAAAAATGTTAAAGTGTAAGGTTTCATTCTTGTCCACTGTCTGTCTAGTGTGAGCCCCCTTCACTGTAGGTAACCACTGTTCTTAGATTCTTATCTCTCCAGAGTGCTTTATGTATATTCAAAGAAATATAAATGGAATTCTATTTTCCCCCTTTTTACAGACAAAAAGTAACATTCACACTTTTCTGCACTTTTACTTTTTGCTTTTTTAATATATGTATCTAGGAGATTTTCATATCAGTTCATAGAGCGCATCCTAGTTTTTTTTCTTCACAGCCTGCCTAGTTTGTATGGATGTACTATGACGTAGTAATGTCTTACTGATGGATATTTGGGTTATTTCTAGTCTTTTTCTGGTTCAAACAGTGCTGTAATGAATAACCTTGTGCATGTCATTTTGTCCAGTACAAGTATGTCTTTAGGATAAATATATAGACTTGTACATGTAGCTGTAGAATTGTCAGGTCACATGATATACATGTTTAACATTTTGCTGGATGGTGCCAAGTGACCACCATAGTGATTGTACTAATTTATATTCTCCTTAGCAATATAATAGTCTTGTGGAAAAAGAGTTCAAGTTATCCCATTTGTCAAGTCTGCTCCAGCATTGAGTACATTCCATTCCTGCCTGTATCCTTTGATATCTTTATTAAATATGTCCTCATCAGTTTTCAGACGTTCCTTTTCAGCTGGCTTCTTTCTATGCAAAATGTTAGATCTCTCTTGTCCTCAAGAAAACAGGTTAAACTCTCTATTGTTTCCTTTTTCTTCCATTATTTTGCCTTTCTCCTTTGATTCACAACCAAGCTTTTAAAAAAGAATAGGCTGTCTTCGTTGTTTCCAATTCCTATCTTTCAGGTTCTCAACCTATTACAATCTGATTCTGCTCATGTGATATAAAACAGCTCTTAATAAGAATATTAGTGATTTCTCAATTGATAAATCACATGGACATTTTTTAAACCTTATCCAAACCCTGTGGTATTCAACATTGTTGATGAGTTCCTCCTGGAAACTCTCCTTCCTTCTGCCACGTCACTCTCACTTAATTCTTTTTACCTGTCTGACTTTCCTTCTCATTCTCTTCTACTGTTCATGTTATCCCTGGGATAATTTCATCCATTCTTCATGGCTTCAGTTACCATCTGTATGTGGATGACTTCTGAATATATATTGCCAGTTCAGATGTCTTGCGTATCTAACTGCCACTAGATAACTTCGCTTGAATATCTCCTAGGCCTCTCAAACTTGTCGCTGCCCAAACTGAGCTCACTATTTTCCTTTACCCATCACCCTTCCAAAGCTGCTTCCTCCTGTGTTCTCCCTCTCAGTGAATGGTATCACCCTCTTCCATTGTTGAAGCCAGAAGCCTGGGCATCATTCTTGAATCCTCTCTTTCGCCCCTATGTCTAAGGAGTCACCAAGCCCTGAGGCTTCTGTCTCCTAAATATGTCAAATCTGGTCACTTCTCTGCCACAATTCTAGTTCAGGCCACCACCATCTCTTGCCTAGATTACTTCCTCAGACTTGTAACTGGTTTGTGTACTTCCACTTTTCTTGCCTCTCCAGTCCACTCTCCACACTGGCCATAGTGATCTTTCAGAAATGAAAATCTGATCTAGCCACACCCTTGCGAAAATCTTAGAATGCTTCCTCAAAGCTCTGTTGGTAAAGACCAAACTCTTTTACCACTCCAACTTCACACTCCTTGTCTCAGCTACATTGGCCTTCTTTCGTTCCCTGAATATCTTTCATCGTGGAGTCTTTCGCACAAGTTGTTTTTTCTGTTGAAGATGCTCCTTTTCTACCCCTCCACCCTCACCCCCTCCTTTGCCTCGTGTATTCAGATTTATTCATACATGAGGTCTCTGCTCAGCTCAGCTTTTGGAAGGTCTTTCCTAACCTCCTCAGGTCCTGGTTAGGATTGTCATCACTTGGTTCTTGCTCATAATTGACTTCATCTTGTCTGTATTTCCCTGGTAGGTGATAATCTCCATGAGGATGCAGCCACCTTTTATCTTGTTGAAGGTGGTGTCTCCAATACCTGCAGCATAGTAAATACTCACATTCAGTAAATATTTGATGAATAAATAAATGAGTCTCCTTTATAGATTCATTTTCCTTCACATGACTCTAACAGCAGTGTTCCCTAATATCCTGCCCTCAGTCTTCCTTTTCTATGTAAACTCTCTGTATTCTATCAACCACTTGTTAATGATTCTCCACTCTTTGTAATTTAGACCCTTATTTGAGTTTCATATTTATATCCAGTTGCCTACTGCAAGTATTTAAAGGGATAAATGATCTACAAGTATACCCAAAGCTGACCTCATCATCTTCTCTCCTTTTCCCACCTTCTTACTTGCTTCTCCTGTATGGCTGTGATATTAATTTCTAATCTGTTATCAAAGCTAGAAATCTCTGAGCTATTTTAGATACTTTTGTCTTTCTTACCCTTTCCTCACGTGTAGGGATCAGTAATTCCAGTCCATTCAAGAAGTATTTATTAAATAATTTATTTTGGATATGCATCAGATTTTGAATCCAAAACTCCTAGGTTTAACAGACCCTATATATAGGTCAGAATATAAAAACCAATAAAAACACAGCACACTTATCCTTTTACATAAGAAGATGAGGCTAATATTAGAGGACCAGTACACACTGATTTTTCAAATGCCCTGTTGTTCAAATTACTATTGCTGCATAACTACCCCAAAATTTGGCTGCTTAAAAGTTAATTTAATGTGCTCATGGATTCAATGGGTCAGGAATTTGGACAGAGCACAGTTGGAATGACTTGTCTGCTCCATGATATCAGTGGTTCAACTGGGAAGACTCAAAGGCTGGGTGTTGGGATGATCTGGGGTGTTTACTCACATGGCTAGCACTTAGCCTAGGAGGACTCAAGGACTAGGATTGCTGACTGGAGCATCTATAAGTGGCCTCTCCATAGGGTTTGTGCTTCCTCACAGTATACTAGCCTTAGAGTAGTAGGACTTCCTAACGGTAACTCAGGGCTCTGGAAACAAGTGTTTCAGCAAACAAGGTGGAACTGCATTGCCTTTCCTGACCTAGCTTCAAAAGTCATGTATCCTCGCTTCAGCTGCATTCTCTTAGTTATGGCAGAGTCAAAAACCCACCCAGATTCAAGGGAAGGAAACATAGCCCCCTATATTTTGATGGTAGAAGTGTCAGGATCACATTATAAAAGAGCATGTGAACTGGAAGATATGGTTGTGGCCAACTTTAGAAAATGCAGTCTGTCATACCTGTGCAAGTATGAAATAGTGCTGTAATAGACCACCTCACCTTAAGGTATTGCCCAGCTATTGTAAACCCTTTTCTGGCTCTACCCCCTTACCCTAATCTCTGACTCTAGTCTCTGAGAAGCTTATTGATCAGGGGACTCGAAGCTTACTCCTAGTTATCATTAGAATTACATAGGCTTTCTGGAATAGATGGAAAACTTACAAATTCACACACACAAATTTACTTACACTGAACCTTGGTATGTTGAGAAACTACCTGTGTGA